TGGAGAGCCTACTCTTCACTGATCAATGTGTTTATTTAAGCAGGAAGCGTCTTCTTCTGGGGCGCTTTCTCTCTCCAGGAAAGTTGTCTCCAGGCCAGAGGGAAAACCGAGGGAAAACTTCTGGTTGGATTTGGATCAGAGCAGGACTGTGAGGCTTTAGCTAAACCGGATTCTTGTGGAAAGTCAGAAGAAGCTTGTTGTTGGGATTACCGTGAGTTGTTGAGACTCTTAACTGCTTTTCTCTCATGCAAACAAGTACGTTTTACAGAAAAGCCCAAGATGGGACCCTTCTCCCCCCTCTTCTGAACCTGAGGCTTTAATATTTGCACATTGGTGCCTTCATCACAAGAATTCATAAACTAAGCGATTAACTTCTGTCTATAATTGTGCCTAGCAGGGGAGGTGAGGTAAAGAAGGAGGGGGAAAAAACAAAGGACAGTTAATTTGTGATTTCCGCTGCTCATTTGAAGGCAAATTAAGTGTCAAACAGCTAATACAGAGCATATTTCATTTTATGAGCTTTTAATTTAATTCCACCGCCTCATATCACTGGAGCCCGTTAGCAGCGCTGCTAACGCACGTCCTCGTCTGAAAACGAGGACCATAAATAAACATGTTTCAATTAGGCCCTTCACCATAATAGGATGTGATTCTGCTCATTTGCCACGTTCGGATGGTGGATGTGTCGTTGCGTTGGTGAGGAAACAAGCTGCTGGGCGTTCGTGGTGTTTTTCTCCAGCTTCGGACGCCCGGTGGTGGCTGGCTCGTGCGCACGGCGGGGTAAGCTGACTGGATTGATGGAACTGCCGCAGGGCCGACCCAACTGTAATTACAGGCCGTAATGAGAGGTTGCATGGGGAAGTACTGCAATAATGGTCCCTGTGTACTTAGGCATATCTTTGAGAAGGCTAATAACGATTAATTCTGCACACGGAGGAGAACTTGTCTTAAAACAATTCAATATTTCTCCATAAGCCGCCTCTTGTCCTCTGTTTTCCCTGGAACGACAGCTACACATTGACTGCCTTTATTTGCCGGGGCCAGGCAACATTACAGAGTGGAACGCATCGTTTAAGTCCTGGCAGAGGTTTGTTTTTCGGCTGCTCATAAACTTCAGCCACAGCTAGCACTTATGTAAAAACCTGGGCGTGCAATTAACTCCCAATTTGCCATCAGGTGGTTGGCGCGCCTTCTCACTGAGGAATTCAAAGCTGCTTTTTTAATCAGGTGAACAATATTGCCTCTTCGCTTTGCAAGGGCTCAAACGTACGCTCCCAGATAAAGTGTATGACACTCAGCTCACAGAGTCAATTTAAACAGGTCTGGCTACGCAACAGCCGCCTTGTAATCGTGACAAATAGTTTCCCTCAACATGTCATATTAAAGAGGTCTAAGCTTTAATGGATTGGATAAAAAGGCCTTAAGTAGTGTGGCAAAGCACGACCGTATCTCCAATGACAGCAAAGTGAGCGTGCAGGTAACTCCTGTCCAAACAGAGTGACTGACGACACCGCCGCTGTGTAATTTCTTTCCCTTAATTCAATTCCCTGGTTCAGAGTTGTCCCCCACTTCTCATTTTTCTCCCCACCCCCCCACCACCACTCCCCGCTCTAACCTGTGCTCCATGTCGTTCCAAAGTGCTCCTGACGGATAACAAGCCCCGGTTGTTTGTTCGAGCCTGTGTTGCCTGTGCGTGTTCGCCCCATTATCTCTGCATAAGCTAAATGCTAAATTATATTTGCCATTTTGTTTGCAGTGACACGGGGCATCAATCACCTCCCTCTGTTTTTTTCCCCTTCCTTTTTTATTTCCTCCCTTTCTTCCCCTGCTGCAGCAGGAGACGAGAGGTTGAGAGGTGGGGTGGGCCGGAGGTGGAGGGGTGGTGGACATAAAAAATTCATTACGCTTAGTGGCACATCAGCAAGGGAGAGATATGACTCCTGGAGTTGGAGAAAGAGGGAGGGAGTTGATAATGATGAAGAATATCAAACATAATGCGGCCCAAGTAGCTGCCCCATCCAATTTGTCCTCGTCGTACGGTGATCGCTTCCTCCATGTACGCTGGTAGGAAACAAGGACAATGAAGCATCTCCTTGTAGTACTCGGTGTTTGGATGCAAAGAATACAAATGATTTAGGTTGGAAGGGAGGAAGTAGGAGTTAAAGATGTTGAGCAAAGTAAGCCGAAGAGCTTTGAAGTTTTCCGCTGACCTGGTGAGCACCGCTAGAAGAACTCCTGGGAAATACGAGACAGTAATTGTAAGAATTGTCAAGTCAGACCCGCCAAGTTCTCTTAAGCCAGGATCCCTCTGGGTTACTCCTGCTGGAGATTCATTGCAAATGTCATTTTGAGAAGGGATTTCTAAAATATCTAGAAATGTTTGTGTGGGTTTTCTCAAGTCAGTTGCAAGACATCTGTATGGGTTTACTGGTACGATGATTCTCTGTGAGCATCTGGAATCTGTCTGGAACCCTTCGTAATTTGATTTTCAAGAGTCATATAGTGCACATAACATGAGACCAATTTGGGAGAGATTGGTGACCAAATCGTGAATAAAACTAAACATATTTTAGACATTTGGTGACTGAAGGAAATCTATCACTGTGCAGCAAGTGTTGAGACATGTATACAATGTTCAAAGATGTTTGCAAGGGTTCTCAATTTCCTCTCAAGTCTAAAACCTGGGGCACACCGGAGGCGGACACGTAGGCGTCGCACCTGCGCCGTCGTTGTAAATAGAAGCCATTATAGTGTTGCAGCTGTTTACGACGTTGGGGAGTACTTTACAACAGACATTACGACACGGAACTACTTGTCATCCCAGCAAAACCATCCATACAGCACAATATCTCAATCCAAAATGATTTCCTATCTCTGGCTCCTTCAAAGGCAGTTCAAAATCTGGGTGTTGTGATTGATGAACACATGGCCTTTAAAGATCATGTTGCCTCTGTTGCTCGTTCATGCCGCTTTGCGCTGTATAACATATGAAAGATCAGACCATACCTAACACAACATGCCACCCAGCTCCTGGTGCAATCTACTGTCATCTCCCGCCTCGATTACTGCAATGCCCTTCTAACTGGTCTTCCAGCCTGTACTGTGAGACCTCTTCAAATGGTCCAGAACGCAGCAGCGCGTCTGGTCTTCAATCAGCCAAAAAGAGCACACGTCACCCCTCTGTTCATTGAGTTCCACTGGCTACCGCTAGCTGCACGCATCAAATTCAAATTGCTAACACTAGCATACAAAGTCCGAGATGGTATGGCTCCCATCTACCTGAATCCTCTTGCAAAGGCTTACGCCTCGGCCCGGCCGCTCCGGTCATCACAGCATCGTCGGCTAACAGTGCCTACACCACGCTCAGGACAATCCAGACTCTTCTCAGGCATCGTTCCACAAATGTGGAATGACCTACCAAGCACTACCAGAACAGGGGCTTCCTTTTCAATTTTCAAGAAACTCCTGACGACCCTGATCTTCAGAGAGCATCTCCTAAACTAGCACCCTCCCTGGACCCGTCCCCCTCTCTACCGTCCACTCCTTGTTCTCTCCTCTCTATGATTCATCATGCTGCCTCACTGCCACCTACGACTGATTGGAAATTGTTGTTGTTCTTGTTGTTATTGTTGGTGTTAGCCTCAAGGGCAACATGCCGATTTTCACTTGTAAGTCGCTTTGGACAAAGCGTCTGCTAAATACATAAACAAACAGAACGACTTTACAGAACAAACTCAACGCCCGCCGCAAACCCAGCCACAGTTTTGATAACTTTAAAGCACTATTGATCTTAAAATATTCTAGTAAATCGTGTACTTACCCAGTTTTAATGAATTCGAGTCTCACAAAACACGACGGCAAGTATGATCACGTATAAGCAATAAGCTCTCTGTTCTCAAGTCCCGTGCGATGTTGCGAATATTGCACGACTTTCCAAGAAGCGCTCAGCGGTGCGGCACGTCCTGCATGACCACTTGATATCCCCAAATCTCCGGTGTGCCCCAGACTTTGGGGTCCCGATTTCACATTGCCAGAAATGCTGAACAAGTTCAAAAAATTTGCAAGACAATTTTTTTGTCAAGTCAAAGCAGACATCTGTAACCCATCTATAAACCTTCTCGGTTTAGTTTCCAGGAGTCAAAAAGTGCAACAAATGTGACACAACTTTGAGAACACTTGGAGACCAAATTGCCAAGAAGACAGAAGACATGATTGACGAAGTTTGCGACAATTTGTGAGTTTTCAAAAAGAGGTTCACTAAGAAACTTTATGAAAACACTGAAAACAAAATGGATCAATGTTGCTTCTTATATGATTGTTAGTAGTATATGCTCCTATGACCCATCCATATATTAAACCTGACGGCCAACACGGAGACACACTTGGTAGAACTGTTGCCTCGCAACCTTTCTGAGTGGAGTTGGTGTGTTCCCCCCATATATTCGGTTTCCTTCCACTGGGCCAGAAAAAATTCATTCAAATGGACATTTGTACTAATTCAGAGTGTTTTTAAGTTAAATTGATGTATTTTCTTCCAAGTTGTAGCCCAGTGAGATAATGGCCTTACTGGTGATTCTGTTTTTACCTGATTCGCTGAACAAGCATGTGACTGGATGTTTTGTTACAGGAGCCCATCTGTGTCTGTCAGAGATGGGTAGATGTCAGCAGGCACATTGCTTCCTTCTCTTGACAGGGCTTGATCACTGCTCTTATGAGAATCGTGCGCTCCCAGGCTCCCTCTCGCCCTGCTCTCATTTTCATGTCTCTGACACATGTTCATTTGCGTGTCTCTGACATTCGGATCATGTTGCGTATGCACAGGGCCGCGGCCTTTGATCCTGAAAGGCAAAGAGAGGGGCGCCGAAAGGAGGATGCTCCGCACCCAGAGGCAGAAGGAGGTTCTGGAGTTCCATTTGTATCGCTGAATGCTGTTGTGATCAGCAATAATTTTACTCGTGAGGCTGCTGGAGGAGTGAGTGTGACCAGTTCGAGAGACTTACACGTGAAGAGGGGGCATGGGGGATGGCTCGTAGATGTAACGTCCCTGGGTATGTCTGTCATCAATTGGCACCGGGGGATGGAAGGTAGGGAAGAACTGTGGAGCAGCTGTGTAGAAAGAAAAAAAAAGACTTTTCTTTATAATTTGCAGAGCTTTTGGATCTTAAAAGACATTTCCATGTGAATTCTCTCCTTAGCTAATCTAAACAGCAGCTATAATGAAAGGCAGTGGTTGATAGCTATCTTTAAGCAGTCCCACCCAAATGAGACCTCATTAAACCTACCAAACTAAAAGCCACATAGCTCCAAACGGTTCGCTGAGGAAGTCTTTGTAAATGTCTCAAGGCTGAGGGAACTCAAAATAAACAGCAGTAAATAACCAAAAGAAAGGCAGCCAAATGGCACATTTCTCACCATGCCAAGCATAATATGGTTTTATACAAAGGATAACATTTACGCACAACCAATGAAACGTACGAAACTAGAACAAAAACATCCTTTTTCATTTGTGCGTTTTGTCGCGAGAGCCAGAGAGACTCCAGAGGCTTCTTCTACACCCCTGGATAAAACGTATTTGCATAATATGTGCTTTCAAGCTTTTCTCCGTTTTTTACTCAACTGCACTCCCATCAGACTGTGCACTCGTCGTCTAACCTTAGCTGCACTCCACAAACCCTTAAAACTAAAACCAAACACTCCACTGTTGAACAAGTCCAAACAAGCAAACCACGAGCGGGGATCTTGACTCAATTCTGAGTAGAAAAACAAAAAAGTGTAAAAGTGATCACATCTCATTCAGAAAGCACGTGTGGCTTTATTGCCTGTTTCTGAGGCCAGGCTGTGCCTCACCACCCCGAGGCAAAGCATATGTCAACATCTGTCGAGCTTCACGCTACAAGTCTAATGCTGCTAGATATGTTTTTATTTCTTGATTTCCTTGTAAACATTTGAGCCAAGTGGGCAGACGGCCAAGCGGCGGGGTGCCAGGCAGCTCTACGAGTGTTGGGCAATGACAAACGCAGCTGCATTGCCAGGCAGCGCAGCAGGTGTTGATACAGGCCCTCTTACCTCATCACTCACTCATTTACGGGGAAGTTTACAGCTGAAATAAAACTACAATGTAAAGGTGACTGGGTTTGTGTTGGTTGTAAGCTTGTGGAATTACAGGAGGCAAACTGATCATTTAAAATAAGCTAGTCTGAGCGTGTTGAATAAATGTACTGACTAAAAGAAATGCCTCAGAAAAAAAAATCAGAGTTGAACCATTCAAATCAGATTTTAAACACCAACTTAATGTTTTTTAGTTAATGCTCTTATTCACTCATTTAGTTTTTATAAATCTGCTGTGGTCTATTTTATGAATGAGTGCCTTGTAAGTTGTTCTCTAAACTCTGGTGCTCCTGTTTCAGGAAGTAGAAGTTACCTGGAGGAGTGGAGAGGAGGTACTTATTAGTATTCATGATATTTAGACATCTCTTCTGTTATTGGCTAACAGCAACACAACTCTTTTGCTGCCTCCGTTCGCTCTGTAACTTCGATGCTTTATCTCCATAGATAACACAAGCTTGCAGGAGTTGCTAATGCTAACAGTTAGCTTCTGCTAGCTGAGACTAGGATGACCAGATTCTAACTTGCCAAATGTGGGACAGAGACTACTCCATGTGGGACAATGTGAAGTTCCAATGTAATGAGAAAAAAAACAAATATATATATATATATATATATATTCTGCCTTTCAGCCCTAACATCACTTTAACATATACATAAAATTATTATTCTTATTATCATCATATATTTCTTGTATATATTTTATTTGAATTCAACATGAACAAGCATACAGCAAAAGCTTTACTATTCCACAGTTCCTCTCAAGTTACCACAACATAACTCAGGCTCTTTGGGCCTTCTGTAGTGGCTCTGATCATTTTAATAATATAGATAGGCCCACAATAATAAAAACATGCAGGTTTAAGCAGCTTTTCAGAGTTTTCATTGAATGTTTTCCACAACAGAATGACAGTAAAAGTACCGGTAATATTTTTTAGATCTATTTATGTTTGTTTTTAATTAATTTTCCACTAAAACCAGCATCTCATTGAAAAAGAAATCCATACTTTTGTGCTATTTTTTTTCTTAATTAAGAAACAAAACGATTTTTTTTAACTTAACAAATCTCTTCTAATTTTAGGTGAAAGAATAAATATCAGATTCTAATCTCTAAAAATTCGGGTCGAATCTAATTATAGTTTCTCAGAGTTACTTTTTGCCTCAAATGTCTGAGAATAAGTGATCAAAGCTTCCACTTATTCTCATTATTTCTTCACTGTGCTTTAAGGGGCTCAGCATGTACGTTGGTATCTGTAGCGCGATGAAGGGACTCTAATTTGTGACAAAGGTCACACTTTCCCAGCTGGGTCAGACTGTAACTTTTAGTTCCACAGATTGACCCAGGAGCCCTGATGTCTAAAGAATCATCCTTTATCTGCTGCTGTTCCGTCCCAGAAGAAGGACACCTCAAGTTCACGATAATAATTAAATAATAATATTAATAAACTCTTTGACTTTATTACTGTTTATTATAATCATCATAAATAATCACTTGGTTCAGTATAAATGTATTTTAATTACTGAAATTAATTATTATGCTTTGGGTATAATAATGATTACTGTGATTATGGTTTATAATGTGTGTTCAGTAACCCGAAGGTCAACTTCCACTTATCCATCTAACACAGAGTTTATCCAGAGTAAAGGGTAACTGCCATCACGTTTTTTGACTCATGACCAAAGCTTTCCTGCTCTGAGAGGGCGTGTTCTGAGGACTTTGTTAAACTAACTTCCAGCAGCTTTCACTTCAGTTCGTGAACCAACCACCATCACAGGAGGATAAGGGACGGCCGCCCTAACTCCACCTGCTGTTCTGTCACGCTGATAGAATAAGCTTTGAATAAACTGTAACCAGCTGACGCAAAAACTCCTCCAGAGTTATTGATTTTTGAGTTAAGTAAGACGAAACTCCTTCAGAGTAAGCCAGACGCTCGACACTGTGTACCCGGCGACATCTTCGGACCAGAGAGTCGGTTCCTCGAGTCTCCTCTACCGGACCGAGTACCCGGAGGAAGAAACCATCCTCCCTTGACCTCCGGATCCTCACGAAGGGTCGTCCTTGCTGGGTGAGGTAGCACACAGATTGTGTCTGATGCTGATTTCTCTAAGTAAACAACAGTTAGCTGCAAAACCATCATTTCCAACCCAGAACGTGTTCCTCTCTCTGAAGGAAACCTTCTGAGAACATCCACACGTCCAAAACTCGCATTTCATTTTAGCTTTCCATCCAGACACAGGTAAAGCTTTTAAACAAGCTTTAATATCAAGGCTGGTAAATTGTCATCCATGAATTGTCAATTTTAATTGTCATAAATTGTCATTTCAAATCGTCAAGTTTAAAATTGTTAGTAATAAATTCTTTATTTTTAAACTAGCCTCATTCCTTGAAATGGAACACAGAAAGGTATAAATATTTCTGGTTATTGAAAAAGCAAAGATTCCTAACTTCTGATTCAAAAATAAACTTTTGCTATTAAATTTAATTATCTTAAATTAAACATTAATCTTTGGATTAAAAATAGACCAAAAAAATTGGTGTATGAACTTAAATCGGTTATATAAGTATCCTGGATATTTATACATGATATAAGCTTCTTATGCTAATCTGCTCGGTCATTCTCAGAATCTACAACTGATAGCAAACAGTGTTGATTCTAGTATGTAGTGAAACCCTACAGTATCTGAAACTGCAGCACCTTGTCTGCGTTAGAACCTCCATTGTGTTAATCATGGACCTGTCTAATTACTGGAAAACCTGCATTTGGCCTCTTCATATCAGCCGAGACATGAAAAAATGACTCAAAAACAACAAAGACTGTCAAGTGTCTCTGAACACGTCTAATTCATGAGTTTACAGCATTTTCTCCTCCGTGCTCACGCACGCTTGTTTTGGTGGTTCGGGTGTGCTCCACACACGCTCCGATCTGCGATAAAGTCCCGCCTCCGTTTGATTGACAGCAACAGGCAGATTTCTCCACAGTTTATTTTATGAAATTGAAACTCGAAACGGGAAACTGTCAACAATGCGGGACATGAGTCTAAATTTGCGGGACATGTGAAAAGTAATGAAAATGCGGCACTGTCCCACACAAAGCAGGACATCTGGTCATCCTAGCTGGGACGTGCTCTGCTGTCACACTGCCTTCCCTGGCGCAAGCCAAGAATACTAATTTACAGTGTGACATAGATCTGTGTGGCATTTTTTCTACCAGCGGCTTATGCAGGAAATAGGGGTAGAAGACAATTTTCACATGCATGTAAATTTCAGAGCGGCTGGTGGTATTTCAAGAATAACAAGTAAAAAAATGTTTCTCGGGGAACCTGCTCTTTAAAAATATGTCATCAGATGACAAAGGTCTTTTTCCTAGAAAATCTGATATTTCCTGGATCTGGCTAACAGCTAGTCCTAGCAAAGCCATCTTAAAACTGATCTAATTTTCAGAGCAGTCCATTTTTTTAAACGTTTGACATCACAGAGATTTTAGTACAACATTTTGTAACATAAATAATAGGATGTTCCAGCCGGAAATGCCCCATGTTGCACCAAAAACACTACATGTCTAAAAAACAAGATTCTATTCAAATAACCATGCAGCATCAAACTAAAAGGGATTTATGAGTATTTAAAACAGAACTCATATGAACTGTGATTCATTTTTGGATCACTTTAAGAAATCTTACTTTGGTTTTAGCTAGGGCTGCACAATATATCGAAAAATTATCGTCATCGCGATAACAGGACGTGCGATGGGCCCATCGCAAAGCACGTCAAAAATGGCGATAAATGTTTGGTTCAAACATTTCCATCCATGTCATACATCAACTTTTTGTAAACCAGCTCTGTTTTTTACGCGAAAGTATTGTTTGACCAATCAAATGTTGCCCTTCTGATATGCGGCCAATCAGATGGGTCAGTTCACGTAATACGCCCGCCCCCTACGTAGACCCTTAGGATGGGTGGAACGCAACATCCGAACTGAGTTAGCGGCGCCGTTCCCTTG